TTGTGCGTGTGTGACGCATATAATGTGTTTAGACTCTGTTCTTTGTCTTAAAAGAAAGTTTTTTCAGGGTTTTGTTCATCCTTAACACTGGCAAATATGTTGAGCCTTTAATCATACTGGTGAAGAACATGAGCCATACCAAATTTTTAAAGGTAGGACAAAATTTAATCCTGCTCGTCTGTTTTCCAGAGTGATAATGAGGCTTATCTGGCTCCTCCAGATCTAGTTGTCAGTCTTCCTTGCAGAAAAATACCCAGACTAGGGGAGGCATTAGATTTTAACAAGGTGGAGTCTATAAACAAAACAGTGTGTTTCAGAACTTCAGAATCTAGATATTGGGGTGTCACATGCCATTTGCCTTCATCTGAGCCTTTGAAGATTTTTAGTGGTTTCTGTGCTCTTGGACACAGCATGTGAGAAGCCTTTGCTCTGTGACACAACTCCAACATCTGCACCTGAAACTGGAAGGTTGGAACAGACCTGGAAAGTCAGAGATCTCAGTTTTAAATACAGTGTACATATGGGCCATGGATGCTGATGTACACACCTGCCCTCAACACCTTAAAAGCTTTTTTAGCCTTTGGTTTTTGTTCTTCTGTATTGAGAGTATTGATTTCTACCTTACCTTTTTGTGGGTAGCAAGGGTGCAAATTAAATATTTGTATTTTCTGCAAACCATTAATTCTTGCTTTGGAATCAGACTTCGTTTCTTTTGCTTTGCTATACATTTTCTGCCACACAGTATTTTGATGCATGCCATAGTCTTAGTGATCAGATGAGGGTTCAAAGTCATATTAATGCTATAAAGGGAAAACATATCCATGAAGTTCCAAGTTGTTTTAGCTGTAGCACCTCTCTACAGTAATTGCAAAAACTCTGTATTATTTATTTCAGCCTATTTCAGTTGGAAGGGAAAATTTCCTCTGCAGTACACAGCCTGTTTGGCCTGCCCACATTTTTATTATTCATGGTGACTGTAGTGTCTAATAAAAAATTATTTGACTTTTTGGCCTGGTACTTCTTTGATAAAGAGTTACTATTAATCTAGGTGCGGAATCCATATGTTGTTAGCATTGCTTTCACAAAATACCTATTCATATTCTACATTGTCAAGTAATGGAAACTGTAGTAATCAGTGGGATTCTAATGAGCAAAATAAGTTCTTCTAATTATCTCATAAACTTACTTTTATGACTGGAAGTACAAAAATTTATTGCTTGAAAGTGGTGTTATCTTAGACCACTGAAGAAATTGGAGACTTTAATTCCATACATCAGGTTGCTCACATATCCCAAGAGTAGGGTTCTCCATAGGTAGTAAGCAATGCAAATTATGCTCACTGTAGCATAAGAAAACATCATACTTCTGCTTGTCCTTGACTGTTTGGAGTAAATAGCTTGAGTCTTGCCTCATTTACACAGGGGGAGTTTGAACTATATCTTAAAATCAACATAAAGAAAATGAAACTGGAATTTACCATGAGGATTTCTGCAGTTAGAAGTGTCAACAATATAGATATACTTAGTTGTATAGTGAACAGCATTTCTAATGGAGCAACAGTATCAGAAATAACACCTAGATATCCTCATTCCT